AATAATAATAATAAGTTTCAATAAAAATAATAAAATGTAAATTGAATTTTATCATAATGAGTTTGCTTGAATTTCCTTTCTTCTGAGATCGCAGCAATGCGCGACGGGTAAGCTAGTAATTTAAATAAGTAACAATTTAAGTATTAAGGTTTAAAAATCAGATATAATAATTAGTTAAAGTTTGGAAGCATCTGTCAAAAATAATACAAAACCAATAAACAAGATAAAAAATAAAGCAATCAACCAAAAGAGAAAGCAAACTGCTTACCTATAGAAAGAAATAAATTAGTAATGAAAACACAGCATGGACAGATGCTCCCAAACAACACTAGCAGTAAGGCCAATTTTATAGTAGAGGAATCATGCCTCTTAAGACAAAAAAATCAACAGATTTTCTTAGAAAACAAAACACTTTAAATTGATAACATTGTTCTGATAAAATTTTAAGAACTAAAGACCTGGTAAGAACTTCACAACCAAAAATTTCATCACGTAACACTAAGATGCCCGGCATCTACAATTTCATTCTCAACACAAAAGTTACACAATTCTCTCAAATAATTATTCAAAAAATTCAGAGAATTACACCTAACCTATAAAAAGAAATAAATTAGTAACAAAAACACAGCACTGACAGATGCTCTCACAAAACCATTGACCCTTATGGCAACAATGGGCTCAACAACACAGCCACTGGCAATTAATCATCATTTCTGATGAATCCCGCTTCAATTTAGAGTACAATGATGGCCAAGTATGTGTTGGAATATGGCTTTCACCTCTATAATGTCTATCTTATTTAGCATCATACTGGGCAATCATAAGGTGTGATGGTATGGGATACTATTGAATATCATGTGCAATCTCAGCTGCTCAGAATTGCAGGTACTCTCAACACCAACTGCTACATCGGGAAGTTGTGGAGTCTGAAGTTGTATCCTTCAATGCATTCCTGGGGCTATATTTCAACAGGACAATGCCTGTCCAAATTGTTGGGGATGTTCTAGACAACTTCTCAGCACAACAGATATCGCTTCTTCCTTGGTTTGCCCATTCAACATGTCTGGGAATTTGTGGGTTGGAAACTCTCTGGTAATGCTCATTCTGCAGCCAATATGGACAAACTTTGGGTTTGGATAGAAGCAATCTGGAATGTTATTCCTCAGGTAGACATTCAAAACCTGTTTGATTTGATGCCACAATGTGTAACAGCTCTTACTGCAGCACATGGTGGCTTCACCAAATACTGGTTTTTGGTATGTAATATTTACTTTATAAATTTAATCATTTCTTTGTATCACGAGAGGTTACATATGGAATAAATTTCATTCATTTCTGATCATGGTATTGAAATTTTTACAAACATGAGTTTAGTAACTCCTTGTTACTTGCAAAGATCAGAAGTAACAAGTACTCCTTTTCAAAAGTAGGGAAAAGATAGGGCAAGATGGGGTATAGTTTGCATAAGTGCTGTCACTTAATACTAAATCTGCATACCGGAGAAATAGATTACAGAGAACTGCTGCTGCTGTTTAGTGTTCTTCACCTAAGAAGGCAATCATGTGTTTCACAGCTGTACAGTTGCATGTTGATGTAATTTGTTAAATTTTTAAAAATGCACATGCAAATATTGCAAAGTATTTAATTTTTTAGCTTCATGTGACTATAGTCTTTTATTAATACCATTGATTACAAAACAGTTTATGCAAAACTTTATCGGCTCAGGCTACTGCCCTCAGTAATAGTGATCAAACTTTTAATAGTCATCACAGCCTATGAAGATAATATAGAGACAACCTGTTCACCATGTGTGTTCAATGAACAGGGACATAGGCATAATAATTAACAACAACAAACTGATCAGTGGAAAAACAGTAAAATCCAAATAAAACAAACTATTTGGTACCGTGAGATTTGGTTTAAACAGGTTTTACTATAACTTTATAAGTATGTAGCTAGTCAGCCAAATGCTAAATCTGACATGAGGAGAATATACCAATATATCAGTACTCATTAAGCTAGGAAGCTGCAGCCTTCCAGATCAGGGTAGGAACTGCTATTTTCCTTGACACTAAAAAGTTTAGAAGCAAATAAGAAATATTTTGCTCTCATTTGCGTTACAAAACACCTCAATTGGTCATTTCAGTCGTCAATAGCTACTAAATGAATGCAATTCCTTTATCTGTGTTAATGATAGATGTGCATGAGTATAAAAATATTAGTTATAACCTGTTAAAACTAACTGCAAATTTGTTTCTAATATATGTTATGTGATTATAATACTGTATGAAAAATTATTTATTGTGATATTGTCACAATGTCGGACTGCAAGTTTTAATTGTATTTTTAACTTACAGTAATTTAAAATATACATAATGTGTGTATAAATAGCCACTTTGTTAAAAATATATGCTCTCCATGTCAAATTAATAGTGTCTTGATCATGTACACCAGGGCTTCTTAAACTTTTTTTATTCACGACCCCATTTATGATTGTGATTTTTTTCGCGACCCCCCCAAAATATATATAAAATAAAGATACTGTATATGTTACCGCTAAAGCTCGAAATCCGTTAATGTGTACATTACCTAGCTAATCTGCAGATTAACTAGGGTGATCCGTTAAAGCTGCAAAAATTGTTCAATTTCTCAAATTACCTAGGTAATTTGCAGAGTATCTAGCTAATCTGCACATTAACGGCTTCCGTATCGTTAGAGTTCAAAAGTTTGTTTCTTTCACTTCCTTTCCCCACTCCTTCTTTTTACGTAGATAAATTTAAATCCTAGAATGCAAGCAAGCACCGAATTGGTGAGTAAAATCAAGAAAAGATTCTTCGCAAACCTCTTTAGCGAAGATTTAAAATATAATACGTAGTGTTTTAATAACAAACCAAAGTATGATTCCATAATTGAAGATGTAAAGCAAATAAAAGTTTCCAAGAAGAAAGAATCATCTCGAGATTATCAAATAATTCAAAGGTGTGATGTGTTGACTGTACGAGGCTGTGAAAAACTCATTGAGCCGTTGTCAGATGCGCGAGAAAGGTTTGAAAAAGTTTGTCCATGCCGGAGAATTGTTTGACATTCGATAAAAACTGAAGAAGACCTTGAAAAATTAGAAGATTCACAAGAGACTGTGATTATGAGATCACAGTCAAATCTTACTCAAGAGGACATTCCGTTATCCCCCGCTTCTACAGAATCACCTATAGAAATACAAGAATTTACCGATAGTAATCTTAAACTGCCTTCTATACCGTTGATTGATGATGCAGTCACGAAGAATATTCAGTTACCCTGCACCTCCAAGGAATCGCCTCTGCAAGTTGAAGAAGTCATCACTGAGTTACTCTCAACTTCAGCAGAATCGCCATCACAGTTTCGTACGGAGCCTGTAAAGAGCACTATACAAGACATAGTCTGTATTGTTTGCTCAAAAGCAGCATCAAGTGCTCACAAGTGTAAATCGTGTAATATGTTTGTTCACGCAGTTTGTGGTGAAGTAGATCCTAAAGAGGAAGGGTATGGTAAGAATGTATTGTGCATCATCTGTAAAAAGAATATGGATCAGAAAATACAGCGTGATGAAGCCAAGAAATGTTTAGAAAAGCAAGCAAAGAAAATGTTAGCAGTTTCTAATGCAAAGCACCCAAACGTCGATGAAGGTTTCGCTGTGAGAATTAAAGTACCCGAAGAAGACAGAGCAAAAACTGATGCACGTTCAATTTTAGCTGTGGTTCTTAGTAAAACAGAGGATGGCTTTTATAAACTTGATACTAAAACAGGTATTTTAAAACAATTGTATGCAAAATCTGAATTCAGTGTTTGCAAAGAGAGATTTTTAACGAAAGAAGATGGATGTCCCTGCTGTAGAAATATCTTTACGTCAAACAGCAATAAAACAATCCCTTGGTACTGGGCAGGGTTTCAGAAAATGTGACTGCAAATCTAAATGTACCACAAATAGGCGTGCTTGTCGCAAAAACCAATTGCTACGTAATTCAAAGTGTCACCAATCTTTAGATTGCACTAATAAGTAAGTACAATTTTATCATATGTTTTGCAAATTCATTTCCCTAATTGTAGTAATATTTTAAACCGTTTGATTTTTGTATTAAAGTTTTTTTAATTGATTGATGATTGATTCAATCAACTAATTTGTTGATTGTATTAACTTGATTCTTTAGATATTGAAAATTAAATAAATAACATTATGTTAATTTAAGCGTACAGAAACGTTGCTGTTGTTCCAGCAAAAATCTTATTTTCACTTTACCGAGTGCCTAGTAGGTAATTTGCAGATTACCTAGATAATCTGAACATTACCTAGGTAATTTGAGAAATGGAATAATTTTCGCAGCTTTAACGGATCACTCTAGTTAATCTGCAGATTAGCTAGGTAATGTGCACATTAACGGATTTCGAGCTTTAGCGGTAACATATATACAAATTTGCAGAAACAATAATGGTGTACTACCACAGTTCACTCTTGTGTTACAATGGAACAAAGACAACTGAATACACTGAAAAGCGACAATATTACACTAGTTCACACTACAATCAGTGTTGCTGAATCGTTGTCTCGCTGCACCAGAAATGATAACAACACGCAACTCACGAAACCTATGACACAAAGCGTGCCATTTTCAAACTCTCACAAATTATTTTCAATATTTTGCATTAAAATCTCGCGACCCCAAGATTTCGCTAGATGACCCCAAATGGGGTCGCGACCCATAGTTTAAGAAGCCCTGGTGTAGAGCACTGGTCACAAGTTCCAGATAGTATAACGTTAATTTCACCCCAGTGCTGGAAGTAGAGCAGTTCCTATATTTATTTAAACTTTATATAAAGTTTTTATTTCACTTATTATATCAGTTTATACACATATTTGCAACTTATTAAATTATTTACTGTATAGTGGTTCTATATTTAAATGTATAAAGTTTTAATAATAATTAATATAAAAATTTTATACATTTAAATAAGATTTTATAATCTTAAGAATATAACTCACCTGAAACACAGTTAAAAGCGACTGATAAAAATTATCAAAATTGTGTCTAGGTTTATCCCATTCTTCACTATTAAATCTTCCTCCAAATACTTGCATACCCAATAAGGCAAAAATCACAATGAATAAAAACAGCAATACTAAAAGACTTGCAATTGAGCGTACAGAGTTAATTAATGAAGCCACAAGGTTACATAAAGAACCCCAGTATCTAAAAAATAATAATTCTTGTTAATTTATTAAATAAAAAAATTACTAAGATAATTTAAAACATAAATTCATACAAAAATATTAAAAACTATAAGTAAATTAATAAAAATAAATTTCAGAAAAATTTAGTTAGATACTATACTAAAATCTATACTATAGATATACTAAATCATAAGTTAGATACTATTTTTTACTTCATATAAATTCAAAATAAGAAAAATCAAATTATTAACTAAATTAGGAAAATAAAATATTAACTTATATTTGATAATGATAATCAATTTAATTAAAAATATGTATAAAATTTGAAAAAAGTATTTTAAATCAAGAATATAAATTTAATATAATTAAGTAAATAAAACAGATAATTCTCATATTTGTGCTTTTAAAATGTATTATTGTTTTGTTTATTTTATTAATCAGTAAATTAACAAACAATCTAAAATAAATATTCACAGCAAAAAACCATTTAAGATATATTTAATAGAAGTGGCAGTAAACATTTATCAAAATGAAGTATGTTCTAAAAACATAATTTATAAAGGTAAATCTGCATTTTCAAACAAAAATACATAGTGTTATTAATAATTTTTTCAATATTTTAATTGTAAAACACAATTATATATTCTTCCATTTAATGTAAGTATTTTAATTACTAAAAACATCAAAACTAATTAGAATACTGAAATCTTTAACCAAGAAACTACACAGATTTTTAAAAACATTTTTTAATAGTTAATCTTTTGCAAAGGTATGTGTCTACTGCACTTGCCAAGTTTGTGAGTTAATCTTTTGCAAAATATGTTACACTTGATATGCTTGTTGATTGTGAGGGGCAAAAAAAAAACCAGTTATGCTCGTATAACTGGTCGTGTGACAAAAAGTAAAGATTATATAGACTTGACTAAGGCCAAGAACGCATATGCATAAAATTGTGTGGCAGAAAACTGAATCAGAAATCAGCTTTTGGTTCAGTTTCTGTTTTATGCTTTTATGCCAGAACACACATAAATAAAAATTCTGGCCTAATAGGAAACACCACTGCCACTAACAGTGCTACATTTTATTCATTTTTTTTCTTTCCTAAATCTATCCCTTTGTATAGTACCTTCCATTTTTTCTCCAATGTCTCTGCTATAATTTATAAAATTTAAATTAATAGACTTGTATTCTGAATTGAAATAACATGTGGTCTAAATACTATATATCGATTCTACTAGATCTACCTGTTATTTAATTTAGCATCTATGGCCATCCATAAACTTTGTTTAAATACAGTGTCATTATACATGACACTTTTTTTGTCATAAAGACAATGATGTGGTTGAACAGATTCAATAAAGTCTTCTAGTTCATTTATTTTTCGTTTCTTGGAGACCATCACAATCATAGGGATAACTGGCATTGCCACTATTATTAGAATAAAAACCACATGTTTACACTTTGACCTCATAAAAAAAGACTTCTCTTTATTAAAGGAATTTTGGCATAAAACTTTTATGCCAAAAGTAGAGACATGCTCTACTCTTTTTTTCAGTTATTTTTCAGCCCAAATTTCAGAAAACTTTTTGTTTTCTGTTTTATGCTAGATTTTATGCCAAACATGTGTGTTCCTGACCTAACAGGTCAGCACTAGAAAAGGGAGAGAGTAAAATGAGGTCACCATGATTAATGGTTCCTCAAACAAGTTAACAGTGCCACTGATCTATTATGTAACAGAAAAACTTTTATAAAAATCACTACAACACAATAGGATGCACCCACTGATATTATATTTATCAACAACTTCAATTGTTGTATTCTAACAAAATACTTGGAAATTTGTTTATAATTTCTAGTTAAAGACAAATAAATTTTTAGTTATGCAAATTAAAAATGAAAAACAATAAATCATATCTTCAGTTTAAATGCAATGACATATATATTATGTTACTGTACTGATATGCAACTAGATGCTATTATACTATATGTCATTAGAAGATAGCATGCAAAACTTAAGCAAAAGTAGATACATATTCTGTATTATGAAAGTAAGATTATTTTTCAATAATAAAATAAATCAATTAATTAAATTGAAAATATTTGAATTACTAGAATAAAATATTAAAAATATTTTGCTCAAATTACAGAATAAATTAAACTTATAAATATATAATTTATATCTTTTCTAATATTTTTGAAACAAACAAAATACTTAATCTTGACTAACAGTTTTATTAGGAAAAAAACAATAAAGATTAGTTATGAAAATTTTCATTTGAACTTCAGCAAAAATAAAAAGTCTACAGAAAGTTTAATTCAATCTTTGATATTGTAAATTTTTAAATGTATTTCATCCTGCATTTTTAATCTTTACTTTACAAAAAAATATTTTATTATTATTAAAAAATAAAATACTTTT